AAAAAAAATTTAGTCAGCCATATTTACCTAGAAGATGTGTAGTAACGAATGTAACATATTAAAAGTTGCACCACGAGAAATTACGTTCCGGTCATTACAACTTAAACATAGGATGATTACAATAAAGTTGGATACAAAAAATTTTTGAAGATCAGAACTGGCAAGCAACTTCTATACTGAGATAACTGAGATATTTATGTATAAAGTCTAAAACATGTCTCGTTTGAGTGTTATTGTGATAATTACCCCTAACCACACTCAAGATAGTTCTATTCAAACTCTTACGTTTTTTTTATCGGAGCGTAATGGATTTTAAAGAATTAGAAAGAAATAAGAAATAATGTAGGAAGACCCCGTGAGAGGAATAGCATAATGCAATACAATAAAGAAAAAACAAGAACAGAACTAACGGAATTTGATTCAAGATAAACAGTATGTGGCATTGTATATTTGATTTCGTTCGGTCCATTTCTCAATTCTGATATGAAATAAGTATAGAGCAGAAAATGCGACATTCAACTAAGTGTGTTATGTACAAACAAAATGTGTGAATGATGGATCACTTGAAAAACACGCCAAAATTTTAAATAAAAATCTTCCAATTTTAAAATTTGGACAATTTCAAATAGATAATATAACACGAATTACCTGAAAATGTAAGCAAAAAATAACAAGAGTATTGAAAAAGTAACATAACATTCAGCAAACAGATTTACCAACAGATAATAAAGGATTCTGATAGAAAATCGTAATTTTAATACGAAATATAAGATAATAATGGTGACTTCATCACTGACATTCATACAAATGATCATCAAGATAGATTATAAGGTGAAAAAAAAAGAAGAAGGAAAGAAGGAATACAATTTAATACTGCCTATACGTAATAATAGCAGCAGTATAAATGAAAAAAATCGCTACTATAACAGATAAAAAAGAAATAAAAATAAATGATACACCCAGTAAAAAGTTACTAAAAAAACTTCAACACGAAAGATTGGAAACGAAGTTCAATGTGAATGAAGCAGTAGACTATACTGCAATAGGTGAGAAAAGAACAGAATGAGCCCGATGAAGAACTCTCACAGAAACTTGAATAAAAAGTAAAAATGAAAATATCCAACAAGAGAAAAATTCTTCTTAAGAATGTAAAGCGGAAGCAATATCCAATTTTCGAGTGTAAGCTATTAAATATGCACTTTGTGATAACATCAAAGCGAATTAAGTTAATAATAAATTCACATTTATGGTTCGATCATAAAAAAGTCAGCTTTTCTTTCTTTTCAACTTTGAGTATAACTTCTCCTTTTCAAAAAATCTGGCTACATTGATAATTAATTTCTCATGCAAATTCGACTTTTTTGCACTGAAAGTGCAAATTGACAGTAATTTCCTCGACAAAATTTGCATAAATTGAATGCATGTATCGATGGATATGACTACGACTAAGCCACATCATTTGCATCATTTGCATATATGTCTGAAATATGTGAAAAACACTCTACACAGAACAGAGAATAAAAGTGATGACCCAGTTTAGGAATATTTTTAAATTCTATCGCGATGACCATTATTGCAAGATGAACAAAACAGATGATAAGCAACCAATTAGAGCACCGTATAAGCATATAACATGCTATGACTACAAAGCGTCCAACAAAGTTACTTGTTTGATGCATATCTGGTATTTGGGAATAGAAAATTCACTTTTGAAGAGAAAACTTGACCTTACAATACAATCAGAAAGATCATTTTCTGAATCATATCATATCGCCATATGGTATAGGAATCAAAGATTTCCTTCAATATCGTAAAGAAATAAAGTATCCTCCACATCAACAAGAATTAAATTTTTATTGATCAAGATTTCAAGATTTCAGTTTATTCCTTGAAAACTTCCCCAAATTCAAGACAGTTAAAAATAAGTATAAAATACCATCAAGTAACTAAATCACAGATATTGGAGGATAACATCAACAAATACATTTCACTGCATTGGAAGGAAAACTTCACAATGTGTACAGATATGGAATAACCCTTGAATCAAAAGTAGCAAACAACTCTTAAATATTGAACAATTAACATAAATTAGAGAACATCGGATAACGAATGCAATATTCAATTTAAAAAAAAAAAAAGATCAAAAAGAGTAACAAAGTCATATTATGTCATGGAAAAACAATGGTTGAATTCGCAGTTTTGTTAGGGAAAATGAAGAGCTTCATTTACAATGTCCCACACTTCAGCTCACATAACTACTAGATTCTTTTACAAAGGATAAAAAGATCTAAACAGGCGAACAAAAAGACAGAAAAAAAAACAATAAAAAGATCAAAATCACTTCGGTTTGATTTCTCTTTACCAGCACCCTAAAATTCATCTTCCCTTTATTTTACTCATTCTGTTACTTTTCATCTTAAGATTATTTCATCACTTCATCTTACTTCTTCATCATTTTAGATTATCTTATTTCCTATTTACTCCATCTTTTACACTATTTCTATTTTTTCGATTTATACTAGCTCCTGTTTTTCCTCTTCAATTTATTCCTATCCTTTCGCTATTCCCAATGCTATCAATCTCTGCCATAATATACAATACTCCTACTAGTAACTGAATTTAAAATTCACAATAAAAAACAAGCAGTAGGTCGAATATAAAGAATATAAAATTAAATCAATGGAATTATAAAAGATTAAGATGAAAAGGATAGGGAAGTAGACGAATCATAAAAATAATACATATCTATATATATTCCAGGAAATCGAGAGCATAGAAATCATTCCTAGATAAAAAGACTTTTGTTCAACGAAAGCTGAATAGATGGAAGAGGATAAAAACTATGAGAATATAATAAGTATGAAAATACAAAACAACACACAACGGCATTCCTGAACCAAATCCATCAACTCATTAATTCGCACATATTTCGTACTTCACGATTTACTGAATAGAAGACCATTAATCCATCCTTCTATAGTGACGACAGAAGAATGATTGAATGAGTTACTTCGCAACAAACAGGATAAATAAGAAACATGTGATGTAACAGGTCAATGACCAATGTCTTAAAAACAGTTCAAAAAATTAAAATTTGTTAGTGTAGTGCAGCTGTTATTGATACAAAGTTATAAATTGACTATAAATGAATAAGACAGGAAGATCTGACACAAAAATACAACCGATCACATATGTATTTTTTAATCCGCCTCGCGCAAGCTTCGCAAATAACGCAATTATCGTACCACTCCTAATATAGCGAACGTAATTATCGTATCAGTGATGTAATATAGGCGCTAAAACCTTGCACTGCAGAACTCCGTACAAGCAGCACACAGCGGTAAATAATGCACCAATGAACAAATCCCAAACAATACAAAAACGTACAAGAACTAATGATATCAAATTAAAATAACGCATTAATTTCACAAAATTGCTTACCGTGGCATGTCGTGTCAACCAAAAATATCACTTTTCGTCGTATCAAAAAGGTCGTGTAAGATCGCCAGCTGTATCAGATGCATGGAAATGGAATTGTTGTGGTAGTACATCGGTATTGCTGGAAGCACAGTTAGGTAACAAAGCTGTGACCGTACCGGTACCAAACATCCACTGTTCCGCTGTTGTTCCGGCCGGCCCCATAGGACCACCATATGATAGTGTGGCGCGCGGTTTTAGTAATCGATCCATTTCCGACTCTGTCACAATTTTTACTTGCACTGTAAAAAGTTTTATTAAGCACTTCACCAGATAGTTGAATTAGACACTGAGGGATATATCGCGCTTAGCGCGGCGAACTATTAAGAAAATGGAAATAATTTGCAGTAAACTAAAAAACGATTCATTTTATATATTACCACTTTCCAGAATTAGTAACACAACTAAAAAACAAGATGGCTACCCTTGACAAAACAATTTTTTTTCTTTATATTTATGTTAATCATAAAACTTCTGAAGTAATCACCTATCGAACTTTAAATTTAAATCATCCCAATAAAAACAATGAAAAACCACTTACAAAGCGGAGCTTCAGCCTTCAGCCGCCGAATAATTTCTTCAGCAGGCTCTACGAATTTAACAAATAAAAATGGAGCACCATGCGGGCAAAATGCATGTAGTACTTGGCCCACTTTCTGGCATAACATCTGCACCTGTTTTTCGTTCTGAAATTTAAGATTGATGATTCAATGAAAAACTTGAAGTCTGGACAATGTTCATAAGTAGTGGACAATGTTCATAACTTTTGCCACAGAAATTTTGATAATAAAAAGACATTATGAAGGAAAACGTTATATAACTATAAGCAGAAATGTATAACAAACAATTAACTTACCACTCCATGCAACTGCACGAAAACCCACTGATGTTGCTGCGGCTGCTGGAGACCAAAGGGGCTTAAATTGGAACGTTGATAAGGCCCCACAGTGAGTCCAGTAGTTCCCACAGGTCCGCCTCGCATTGGCGCATGTCCAAATGGCCCAATTCCTGTTGGCCCCGATGCAACTCGAGACTGTCGCGCAGCAGTGCTACCTGTTGTTACTGTAGGCCACATGTCGCCGGTAGAAAAAGAAGCTGGATTAACAGTACCACTATTCCATCCTAGATAACCTGCACTTGGACTCTATAAAAAAGTGGAAAAAATAGTTGCTTCATGAAGTAAAAACAGCAGGAAAGAACCAATAATTTAGTTGCCTAAATAATTTGGTTATTAAGACACACCTAAAAAAGTAAATGATTTTCCGACCTTATTTTATGTTCAAGTAAACCATGAAGTTCAAGCTGCACGATGAATCAAATTACTGCATATTTTGGAATTTTACACTTAGTCTAAGCCGAATATAAATAGCAGTTATGCTATACTATGAGATGTGTTTTAATTGAATGACTGAAGTAGGAACAATAGCCTGTATAGATATAATGAAACACACATATTACGAGTTAACATAAATAATAAACAATATGGAAGCAGTAGCACAAAAATAATTAACCCTGTTAATGGTATGTAGATCATTTAAGTAATTAGCCGTTGTTGTTACAGCATTTGACGCATTAGTGGCAGTACTACCTTGTGGTGAGCCGTTGTTATTATTACTGCTATACAAATAGAAAGGTTGGGCGGCGGAACCAGTTGTCAGCAACGGATTTGGCTTACATGTGCCTGGAGTAGCATTCGGGTCCTCTGCTACCTGAAAACAATAAAAATAATATATGAAGTCGTTGAAATCAGCATATTAAAGATGCTATATTAAGATGATAATCGCCCGCCAAATTCGTAGCAGAAAAATAGACTGATGTTCAATTTTTTGTATTTTAATCCGTCAAATTATTTGAAGCAAACATAAAAATCTACCTTATTGGGATCTCTCCATTCCCACTTCTTCCCTGGAACAAATTCTTGTGGTCCATCGTCAACTGGAGCCGCTTGCGCTTGTATCTGAGATTGTTGCGGTGTTGGAGTACCGTTACATGATTGATTAGTTGATGACGAGGTTCCTTGATGTTGCTTCTCACCAGAACTGCTACTTGGATCATCTTTGTCGGTGATATCGACAGCTGCAAATCGATAATTGTCACTACCATTCATGCGCATATCTTCTTTTCCTCTCTCCCCCTCCCCAAGTTAGGATATGCTTTCTCAAATACGCATGTCAATTATCTGGCAGATAAGTTGAAAAAGCACTAGCCGATTGCAAGTATCAATGTTTAATGGTGAATATCAGTGATTATTGGTGAATATATAGCAGTGACTCCAGCTAAAACTACTGACTATACTACTTATTTCAGCAGAATAGAATCAAAATAAAACAAATCTAAAAACTGCGGTTCATTTCTTGCCTTTGTCTCCAGTTCCGGAAGGCGGTGGCGACCAGTCTAGATTACCAACTTTCCAGTCAATTTTTCCTTCTATTGTCAATAACTGCGTGCCAGCAATAAGACCAGAAACGTTCGCATCCGATGAAGGCGCACACATCTAGAAATTACTATTGATTATATTGCATTTTGAACTACATCAGTTTTTTGTTGTAATGAAGTTCCGGAAAATAAGAAACTGTTATAAAGGGTACCTGAACTATGCCAATCAATATTTGTTATAGTGTCAGCGTAGATTGAATTTATCAATCTTTCCCCTGATCTTAAGAAAATTTACTGACCTTATCACTGCTGCAATCTTGTGTACTTGTTGCATTCGCCTGTTTCCACTGCTGTAAACGACTTTGTCCATCTTGTTGTTGTGTAGGTGCTAAATTATACTATTAATAAGAATATTTGAATGAACTGAATAGCAGTAAGACAGTTCGTCCCTATGTCACGCTAAGGAATTACTGATATGAAAGCTGTCAATTTTTTCATCGGTAATTTTTTATTCTGGAAGTGAACTTAGAATAACTGTCAACCAATTTAAGAGTATATATATAGTGAGGAAAATTTTGGCTATATATCACTCTAACCTATCATCAAACCGACAAAGAACTCGTAAACATCATTAGCAGATAGTAGAGAAACTAAAAAGTAAGCAAAAAGAATCATAATTAAGTTCCTAACATTTCAGTAAGTGCTCATTCATTGCATTTCGCAGCTGTACAATTTCATGCTGCAAGCCATTTATTTCTACCGCTAGGCGTTCTGATTCAACCTGAAATTTAAATGTCAGTATTTTTTAATAAAGAAATTGTAACTACAAAATTTGTTGAATATTATAATCTTTTACTAGATAAATATATTACTTGACACACAGGACGAAAACATAAATAAGAAATGAATTACTCATTTTCTATAAATATACTCCTACCTTTTGTGCCGGGCTACTCATTGCACGCATCACTTGCTGGTATTCTTGCTGAGCTTGCTCAAGCTTAGGGAACTTTTGAAGAAGGGCATTTAAGACAACCAGTGCGCTCTGTGGCAAAGGACGATTAAGTATCGAAACATCGATTAAACCTTTACTAACCGCGATGCGGATCTGCAAACGATATGAAATGGACAGCCCACAATGTGAGTTGTAAAAAATTTCCTCAGTGATTATAATCGTACAGTTGTAGCATTTTCGAATCGAAGAATAATCATAAAAACTCATCCAGATTAAAATGAGTCCAATTATTTCTTCAGCGTCTCGTGATCTATTTATCACAGACAAGTTTCGAAATAATATCTGAATTAAATTATACCCGATCCGCAATCTGTTGTGTAAGTGAAATATAGGGTGTTGTTCCTACAATACCGCCGCCTCCAATATCAGGCCGAATCACTGCATTATCCAGTGAACCATGTATCCCAATGCCACCCACAGAAGGAGG